TCCCAGAGCATCCCTGAGGAAGGAATTCCTGGGTTTTGCTTTCATTTAATCGTTTTTCAGTTTCTATTTATGGCAAGAGAAACTGGTTTTCCATTCTTGGTGGTGACATGGAAGTTTCCCCTTTGAAATATATTTGCTGAAGTAAAAACAGAAAAGGGGGTCGACCTAAAGGAGAAATAGTGACATCAGCCTAAAGCGTACTTCTTCATTTATGGTGGGTATTTCCTGTCTCCTACTGGAGTATCAGCTCAGGGGTTGATGAAGGATGGTGGAAAACCCTGGCCCAGCACACAGGGCAGGGCACACAGTAGGTGCTCCGTAGAGGGTGGTGAACAGCTCGATGATGGTGCTGGAGGTTGGCTGAAAGATAAACAAGACCAAAGCAAATCAGCTTCTCAAGCTGGTTTAGCAAAGTCGAGCTCACCACCCTCCAATCCCCAAACTTCAGGTTTCCCCGCCTCTGTCTGGGAAAGGGCCTAACGTGGGCCTGGGTATACAGCAGATGCACATTAAATGTTCGCTAGATGAGCGCAGGAATCTTGCCCATCCTGAGGGTGGGGGAAGAAGATGGTGGTGTGAAAAGTTGTTTTCTTCTTTGCCCGGGCGCCCTTCCGGGCTCACTGTGGCCCGTCGATCAACGAACACCGGGCAGGGCTGGGCCGCTCATCCGGGCCTGCGGGAGGCTGGGGACACTGCAGCCTCCGGGTGCAGTCAACAGGGCCACCGGTCGTAAAGCAGGCTGTCAGTCTGGTTCCATCCGGGCTGAAAGGACCTGACGAAGCGTCAGTTTTCTCGTCGGTAAAATGGTCTCGTGAGACTGGAAAGCGCCAGTGCCGGCCCGGAGGACTGGGTGTGGGTCCCCTCCCCGCGGCCAGCCAAGCACCTGCACAGGACGGGGGAGGTGACTGTGGTTCCTGCTCCCGGCGAGGGCGGAAGCGGGGCAGGAGGGGAGGGGCCACCGCTTTGGCCAGTAACCCGATCCTTAGGAATGCGCAGAGGCCAGACGCGCCCCCGACCCCAAGACGGCACCCCTTCCCGGCCCCCTCGCGGGGTCCCGCCACCCGCGGATGGTCCCCGCAAGCCCCACCCCCACCAGCCCATGGGTCCTAAGCGCCAGAGGACGTTCCCCATGAGCCCTACCCAGACCCGCGGGGTCCCGAGCGATCTCCCGCAAACCTCCCCCTTGAGAGGTTCCTCCGCCTCACTCCTTTCTGCTTCCTGCTTAACTCTTTTTTTTTTTTTTTCTCTTTCTTCGGCGCTTTGCGTTTTATCAAGTAGATTTGAGGTCCCTGGGTCTTCAAATAAAGACTAAACATTAAACCGAGTTGCAGTTTGCTTTAAACAAGAAGCATAACCTCAACGCTCGATCGAAAGAGAGAGAGAGAGAGAGAGGCAGGCCCCAGAGAGAAAGAGGGAGAGAGAGAGAGAGAACGGCAGGCCCCAGAGTGGAGCGGAGGAGATTCAAACCTCGCCTGGGGGGGGGGGGGGGGGTAGTTTCAGCTTTCCTTCCCTACTTAGTATAGGGGCTGGGGACCGGGCTGAGTTTTCGTTGGGCCGGTACTGTGCGACGCCCTGGGGGCAGGTCCCACACCCTCCCTGGACTGCTCTGGAAAGTGAGATAATGTCGTGGAGCCGCTGGGAGAGTAAGGGTGGAAAAATCACTGTCTAGGCTGAGCCCTGTGACCGATTTCTCCCTCAATCCCATCTTCCAGGGCCACTGCCACTACACTGGACATATACTACCCAGGCTCCCATGGAAGCCTGCTTTCCTTCTCTCCGTCTGGCTTCAGGAGGTTCACACAACCCAGCCCCATAGGCTGTCTCCATCAAAGTGGCCAGCCGCCCCAGGGCTTTTGCATTGGCCATTCCCACTGTCTGGGATGCTTGGCCTTCAAATTATCTCCAGCTTCATTCAGCATCACCTCTGGGGCACCCCACCCCAATTACCCAACTCTAAAACATACCCCAAAACCCACAGAGGGGGCACCATTCTCCTTGAAATTGTGTTTGAAGGTTCCTCCTTCAGAGCCTGTGCTGGGAAGGTGAGGGTCTTTGTGTCATTCCTGTGTGTCCCCATCACTTGGCTCACAGTAGGAGCTCAGATAGTGTATATGGAATGAATGAATGAATGAGAGAATGGGAGTTATCCCTAATTCACTGTGTATGATTGGTTGGTGGATTTAGCTAGGCTCCCCTCAACCTGCCTGACTAGGTAGGGACAGGGTTGGTCCAAATGGAAGAGCAGGTCTAAGGTGTCCAAGAGTGCTCCCTGGCTAGGAGGAAGGAGAAGGTAGAGAAAATTATTGGGTCAGAGGGAACAGCAAGTACATAGCAGTAGAGACTGAAGAAGCTAGGCCTTGAAAAGTAGCGCTGGCAGTCTGTCCAGGGTCACTCCCCATACCTAGGGGCCAAGGCAGGTCTTCTCTATCTAGCCTCAAGAACCTTCCCCTCCCCCATCTGGGGTAGACAGAGCCCGACAAAGATGGTGGGCAGGCTTAACCAGATGGTGGGGGGTCACTTAGGGGATTCCTTGGGTGTCAGGTTAGGGAAGGCTTCTTGGAGGAGGAGACATTGGGTTTTGAAGCATGAGTAGGAATTTGCCTCGAGGGTAAGGAAGGGCACTCCAGCTAAGGGAACTCCAGACCAAACAACCATACACAATTAAGGTTGGCTAAATAATAATAATAATAATAATAATAATAATAGGGGCGCCTGGGTGGCTCAGTGGGTTAAGCCTCTGCCTTTGGCTCAGGTTATGATCCCAGGGTCCTAGGATCAAGTCCCGAATCAGGCTCTCTGCTCAGCAGGCAGCCTGTTTCCCCTCTCTCTCTACCTGCCTCTCTGCCTACTTGTGATCTCTGTCAAATAAAGTCTTTAAAAAAAATAATAATAATGGAAAATACTTATAGAAAACATGGAGTTCTTACTATTTTTTCAAATCCAATGCAAATCACAATACTCAAGGCACCTGGCTGGGTTTGTCGGTAGAGCATGCAGACTCTCAAATTTCAGGGTCCAGCGGTCCAGCCCCAGGATGGGGGTAGAGTTTACTTAATGAAAAAATTAAAAAAAAAAAAATCACAAGACTCCATGAGGTGGGTGAGATTATTCACTCCCATTTTCATGAGGAGGAAAACTTGAGTCAGAGAGACCTTGGACTCCTGGTGCCTCCATTTCCCAAGGCTTGTTTGCTGGTCAGTCTTTCAGCTCAGGCAGGTTCTGCCCATAGTTTACCAGACCATTCACCCACTTGTCAAGGTTAAGGCCCAAGGTCAGGGTGGAGGCTCCCTAGGCCACCCACTCACGTCCTGCCTTGGGGAGAAGCATGGCCCCATTTCCTCCAATCTAGCCCCATTGCATAGGCCTAGAGAGGGGGGTCTCAGAGCAGAGTTAGCAACAGGCTGGAGGCTGGATCCCCTCTCATCAGGGGTCCCTTTGCTCAGGCTGGGACCTGAGAGGTCAGGTCTGGAGGACACAGAGACCACAGCAACCAGACCAGGCAGCGTTCGCCTTTAACACTGAGCCAGGTGCTCTACCAGATGTTGGGAGACCCAGCAGGTTCAGGATAGACAAGGTCCTTGCCCTCCGGGAACTTTTGGTCACCCTGTCATTCTGAATGCTTCCAAGGCTCTAATGGAAATAAGGTAAGTGGGAGGGGCCTCTCCAAGGATACAAGTTTGCCCTGGGGAAGGGAGCATCACACAGAGGGTATAGCATATGCAAAGGGCCTGAGGCATCAATGGGTTGAGAGGCCAAGGCTCAGAGAAGGTGAAAGGTTAGAGGGAAGTCTGTGGAAGAAGGGTCCTTAGCCTCCACCATCTGCCTGAGAAATTGTCTCTATCCTGAGTGTGATGGGAGGCAGGGAGGGGCTGTGTGAGGGAGCTGTCAGCCAGACCCAGGTGTCCCAAGAATTCCTAGGGAGTGTTGGATGGGTTGTTACCTCCCTCCTCCCTCATCTTCCACCTCCAGCCAGCCTTTAGGGAGGCCCACTGAGCGCTGACAATAACCAAATAGTATTAAATAGTTAACAATTACCAGCTGGGATTCCGGCCTTAACAACAGGGAAGGGGAGGGACGCTAAAGAGGAAACTGGAGGGGCCAGTAGTCAACCACCCTCACCTCAAGACCCACAGCAGGCCCTGTCAGATGCAGAGTAAAAAATACAGGCGGCCGCCCAGGAGTAGGAGGCCAGGTGAATAAGAGATCTGGCGGGGTCGCACCTTGCTGAACCTCGGTTTCCTGTCTGTAAAGTCGGGAAGTCGGACTCCGTACTTTTAGACTCCTCAGTGAGAAGTATCAGGCTCAAAGCGTTTCCAGCAACTTCTGGCAGCTCTCCTTTTCCCTCCCTCGTCTTTCTGGGGCAAACACATCACCGCAGATTTAGGGATGAGGGTGAGACAGAGGCAGATCTGGCCAAAACGCCCAGGGAGCCACCGGGATCAGCCCCTAAGGCCTTCTGCCGCCAGCCCGTACAGAGCCAGGATGGAGGAACTCTTAAGGAAGGCACTTGTAGGCGTAGTGAAGCGGGAGGTGCCTTGGAGTTATTTATCCATCCAGGCCCCATCCCCCGCCGGTCCCCGGAGGCCGGCACCGCCCCCGCCCCCGCCCAGCCGGGGCCCCACGCGCGGATACGGGGCGGGGCTTGGGGACCGGCAGGCGGCTGGTGGCCGGGCTCATCACGCCACCCGGGACGTGCCTTGGCGGGAGGCAGCACTGGGGGCATTGGTCGTACACTGCGCTCCCGGGGCGGGGTAACCGGGTCCCGTCGGCGGACCCGCCCCCATGACGTCAACCCACAAGGCAGCGCGCTGTTGTGCGGTTTACCGCGCGTCACCGGGGCAACGGCAGCCAGGGGAGGGCGGTCGCGGCCTGGCCCCGCCCCACCATGCAAATGAGCGACGTCACCTACGCCCAATGGAGAGCGGGGGCAGTGAGCTCATCGCGCTGGGCCGAGGCTATAAGAGGGCGCGCGAAGTGCGCGGTGCAGGAGCCGCCGCCAGTGGAGGGCCGGGCGCAGCGGCCTCGGCCGGGGCGGGCGCAGGGCCGAGCGGACGGGGGGGCGCAGGCCCCCCGGGCGGCCGCGGCCACTCCCCCCTCCCCCCCCCACCCCGGGTCGGCGCGGCGGGGGAGGCGGAGGATGGAAACACCCTTCTACGGCGATGAGGCGCTGAGCGGCCTGGGCGGCGGCGTCAGTAGCAGTGGCGGCGGTGGTAGCTTCGCGTCCCCGGGTCGCCTGTTTCCCGGGGCGCCCCCGACGGCGGCGACTGGCAGCATGATGAAGAAAGACGCGCTGACGCTGAGCCTGAGCGAGCAGGTGGCGGCGGCGCTCAAGCCCACGGCCGCGCCGCCCCCGGCCCCCCTGCGCACCGACGGCGCCCCAGGCACGGCGCCCCCCGACGGCCTCCTCGCGTCGCCCGACCTGGGGCTGCTCAAGCTCGCCTCGCCCGAGCTCGAGCGCCTCATCATCCAGTCCAACGGGCTGGTCACCACCACTCCGACGAGCACTCAGTTCCTCTACCCCAAGGTGGCGGCCAGCGAGGAGCAGGAGTTTGCCGAGGGCTTCGTCAAGGCCCTGGAGGACTTGCACAAGCAGAACCAGCTGGGCACGGGCGCGGCCTCCGCAGCTGCGGCCGCCGGGGGACCCTCGAGCACGGCTGCGGGCACCGCGCCTCCTGGCGAACTGGCCCCGGCGGCAGCCACGCCCGAGGCGCCCGTCTACGCGAACCTGAGCAGCTACGCGGGTGGCACCGGGGGTTCGGGGGGTGCTGCGACGGTCGCCTTCACCGCCGAGCCTGTACCCTTCCCTCCACCGCCGCCCCCCGGCGCACTGGGGCCGCCCCGCCTGACCGCGCTCAAGGATGAGCCGCAGACGGTGCCCGACGTGCCAAGCTTCGGCGAGAGCCCGCCGTTGTCGCCCATCGACATGGACACGCAGGAGCGCATTAAGGCGGAGCGCAAGCGGCTGCGCAACCGCATCGCTGCCTCTAAGTGCCGCAAGCGCAAGCTGGAGCGCATCTCGCGCCTCGAGGAGAAAGTGAAGACGCTCAAGAGCCAGAACACGGAGCTGGCGTCCACAGCGAGTTTGCTGCGGGAGCAGGTGGCGCAGCTCAAGCAGAAGGTCCTCAGCCACGTCAACAGCGGCTGCCAGCTGCTGCCCCAGCACCAGGTGTCCGCGTACTGAGCCCGCGCGCGGGGCGCATGCGCGGCCCCCCTCCCGGGGAGGCGGGCTCGAGTTGGGGGTGGACGTGGGCGCCCCGGACTCGGAGAGGGCGCGGTCCCCGGGACACCCCCCCCACACCCCGAGG